ATTATTATTATTATTTTTTTCTATATCTCATGTTTTATTTGCAATAAAAATAGAGAATAACTCGATATTATATGTTGATCTATGATTTATGTACTGAAAATTTCCATACATGCGCACATCTCTAAAACGTTGTTTGTGTTTTGTATGTGTAGGGCACTGGCTGACACGGACTCTGATGGGAAAATGAACATTAATGAGTTCAGCATAGCTTGCAAGCTTATCAATCTGAAGCTGCGCGGCTTGGAAGTGCCCAAAACTTTGCCTCCCACACTGCTCAGCTCGCTAGCGGATGTTGTAGGCGGTCCGTCGCCTGCTATGACGCCCCGTGGTTCAACCAGCTCTATGAGTCCCGTGGATGCATTGAAAAACATTGCAGCTGTACCGCCGGTTGTGCCCATTGCTGTTGTTCCACCTCCAGTTGTGGCACCACCTGTAGCGATTCCACCACCAGTTGCGGTTCCTGTTGCTGCTGTGCCCGCAGCGATTGTCTCGCCTCCGCAAAGCAATCCACCTAGTCGTCATATGTCCATTTCGGAGCGGGCTCCTTCCATCGAATCGCCGTAAGTAAACCAGAGAAGAAAAGAGAGCCACTCTTTTAATATATTAATTCCTCCATCTACAGTCAGGCGGAGTGGGCCGTGCAGGCAGCACAGAAACGCAAATACACGCAGGTGTTTAATGCCAATGATCGCACCCGGTCGGGCTTTTTGACGGGTGCCCAGGCCCGTAGTGTGCTTGTGCAGAGCAAATTGCCGCAGGTAACGCTGGCACAGATTTGGACACTTGCCGATATAGATGGTGATGGCCGACTCAGTTGCGACGAGTTCATCTTGGCCATGTTTCTGTGCGAAAAGGCTATGGCTGGCGAGAAGATACCCGTTACTTTGCCACTCGATTGGGTGCCGCCCAGCTTGCGTAAAATCAAGTCGCGACCGGGTTCCGTCTCCGGTACTGGGTCTCGCCCAGGCTCGCAGCCTGCATCACGTCACACGTCGGTTTCCTCGCAAGGCGCTGTCATGTCGGACGCTGATCCTACTGCCGGCTTGCCGCAAAGTAAGTAGAACATTAGATGTTATTTACCATAATAAAACTATCGATATATTTAGCTTCGTTCGAGGACAAGCGCAAGGAGAACTATGAGAAGGGCAAGGTTGAACTGGACCGCAGGCGTAAGCTAATGGAGGATCAACAACGTAAGGAGCGGGAAGAGCGCGAGCGCAAGGAACGGGAGGAAGCAGAAAAACGCGAAAAGGCACGTCTTGAAGCTGAACGCAAACAACAGGAGGAACTGGAGCGTCAGCTTCAGCGTCAGCGTGAAATCGAGCAAGAGAAGGAAGAGCAGCGCAAACGTGAGCTGGAAGCCAAAGAGGCGGCCAGAAAGTCGGTGGACAAGCATAAAAATTCTGAGTGAATATTATTAAATAATTACTATTTCTTCTTGATAGAGAGCTGGAGAAGCAACGTCAACAAGAATGGGAGCAATCACGCATTGCCGAAATGAATGCGCAAAAGCAGCGGGAGCAGGAGCGTGTACTCAAGCAGAAAGCACACAACACTCAGCTAAACGTGGAGCTCAGCACACTGAACGAAAAGGTACCTAAAACACACATGCAAATTTTATAATAACTAAATTCGCCTCGCTTACAGATCAAGGATCTGTCGCAAAAGATATGCGATACACGCGCTGGAGTTACTAATGTCAAGTCAGTGATTGATGGCATGCGCACTCAGCGCGACACTTCCATGAGCGAAATGGCGCAGTTAAAGGCGCGCATCAAGGAACAAAACGCAAAGTTGCTGCAGCTAACACAGGAACGAGCGAAATGGGAGGCCAAGAGCAAAGTAAGCGGTGCCATACCCGGCGAGTCAGGACAGCAAGAGCAGCTAAACGCAGCGTTTGCGCACAAGCAGGTGAGGAAGTCTGAACAAGACTTAGAATAGAATATACGGCATATTTAATGCTTATTTTCATTGTAGCTGATGATTAAGCAGATCAAGGATAAAGTTGAAAATATTAAAAAAGAAATCGAATCCAAGAAAGAAGATCTCAATTCGAACGATATAACCATGCAGGAGCTGAAGGCCGAGCTTTCTGCACTGATTACCAAATGCGAGGATCTGTACAAGGAGTACGATGTGGAGCGCACGGCGGTGCTCGAATTGAAATATAATCGCAAGAATGAGGCAGCCACAATAAGCGCCACATCTGCTTGGGATACTGGCAGCGCCTGGGGCAGTACTGCCAGCAGCGTGCCAGCTGCTGTCGATGCATATGGTGGCTATGGCCTAAGCAATGATACAGCCGCTGCTGAAACGGTAGCCGCTGTTGATCTGAGCGGGCCGGCGCCTGAGGGTTTCGTCAAATATCGCGCCGTTTATGAGTTCAACGCGCGCAACGCAGAGGAGATTACGTTTGTGCCCGGCGACATAATCTTGGTGCCTCTGGAGCAGAACGCTGAGCCCGGCTGGTTGGCCGGTGAAATTAATGGCCATACTGGCTGGTTTCCCGAGTCCTACGTGGAGAAGCTGGAGGACGGGTCAACAGCATTGGCAACCGGAGAGGCAGTGGCAGTGCCAAGTGTTGCTGATACTGCTGCGACCCTTACCAATAGCTACGTGGACAATAACGCCTTGGCGGCACAGTCAGCGCTGGCAGCAACTGATGCTGCTGCTGTTACTAATGCTGCTTTAGGCGATGTCGAATACTATATAGCCGCATATCCTTATGAATCCGCCGAGGAGGGTGACCTGAGCTTTAGCGCTGGCGAAATGGTCATGGTCATCAAGAAGGAGGGCGAATGGTGGACGGGCACTATTGGCAATCGGACAGGCATGTTCCCGTCGAACTATGTACAAAAGGCCGATGTAGGCACGGCTGCTGTCGCCAATTCAGCTGAAGCTGCAGTTGAACCTGAACCCGTCGAACAGGTGAGTCTATGTCATAATGGTTCAAATCACAAAATGCAGCCAAATATAATACGTACTGCAACTGTATAAAGTAACGCACGATTCGTGTTTAACCATCATGTGCTCATCTACTAATCCAATGCTTTTCATTTGCTGAACCCCAATATCATCAACACACATCACGCTGCTCGCTCGTCCAGGAGGTCACACACAACGGCATTAGTGCTTCATATGCTGCTCAGCCAGAAGCGGTAGAAGTAAAGCAGTCACAGACCCAGCCGGCCGAGCTGGAGGAGTCGCACACAAACGAAGATCTCGACACTGAAGTATCGCAGATAAACACACAATCCAAATCACAGAGCGAACCGGCCGAAAGCTACAGCCGGCCCATGTCACGTACTTCTTCCATGACAC